CAAATTAAGCTGTAGGATACAAAATCACTACATGAAATCTGTTGCATTTGTATACACTAATAAACTATCAGAAAGAAAATTAATAAAACAATCCCATTCACAATTGCATCAAAACAATAAAATTTATAGGAATAAATTTAACCAAGGAGCTGGAAGACCTGTGCCCTGAAAACTATGAGACAGCGATGAAAGAAACTGAAAAATACATTAAAAAATGTAAAGATATTCTGTACCTCTGGATTGTTAGAATTAATATTGTTAAATGTCCATACTACTCAAAGCAATCTATAAATTCAAGGTGATCTCTTTTAAAATTCCAATGGCGTTTTTCACAGAACTAGGACAAATAAATCTAAAATGTGTCTGGAACCATGAAAGACCCCAAATAGCCAAAGCAATTGTGAGAAAGAAGAACAAAGCAGGTGGCATCATGCTCCCTAATTTCAAACTATATTGTAAAGCTACAGTAATTAAGACAGTATAGTATTGGCATAAAAACGGACACAGAGATCAGTGGAAGAGGGTAGAGCCCAGGAATAACCCTATGCACACGGTCACCTAATTCACAACAAAGGAGCCACGAACATTCAACAGGGGAAAGGCTAGTCTCTTCAATAAATTGTGTTGGGAAAACTGGACAGCCACATGCAGAAGAATGAAACGGGACTACCACCTTATACAAAAGATTAACTCAAAATAGATCAAAAACGTGAACGTAAGACCTAAAAACATAAAACCCCCAGAAGAAACGTAGGCAGTAAGCTCCGTGACACAGGTGTTGGTGATAATCTTTGAACCCGACACCAAAAGCAAAATGACAATCGCAAAAGTAAACCAGTGGCACTATATGGAACTGTAAAGTTTCTGCACAGAGAAGGGAGCCATCAAGAAAATGGAAAGGCAACCTAAAAAATGAAAGGAAATATTTGATCTGATAGGTTGACAAGGGCTAATATCTGATAAGGGGCCAATATACAAAATATATAAGGAATTCATATAACTCAACAGCAAAAAGAAAAACATTCCAATTAAAAAATAGGCAGAAGACTCATTTTTTTCCCAAAGATATGCAGATAGCCAACAGGCTCATGAAAAAATGCTCTCCATCATTAATCATCAGAAAAATGCATAACAAAACCAAACTCAGATACAGAGAACAGATCGGTGGGTTCCAGAGGCAGGGATGGTGAGTGGGAAAAATGGATGCACTGTTTTGGTTTGGGTTTGTTTACTTAAATAAATTTATAAAAAAGAAAAGAATGGTGGGGCTTCTGGGTGGCTCAGTTGGTTATGCATCTGACTCTTATATTCAGTTCAGGTCATGATCTCATGGTTCGTGGGTTCAAGTCCCACATTGGGCTCTGCACTGTTAGTGTAAAGCCTGCTTGGGATGCTCTCTCTCTGGCCCTCCTCTGATCATTCACTTTCTCTCTCAAAACTAAATTTAAGAAAACTTTAAAAAAAAGAGAAAAGAATGGTTACCCATGGAGAGAGAGGGGGGCAAGTTATATATAGAACAGAGAACAGGAATAGGCTTTCATTATATTTTCTAATTATACTTTCTAATATTATTTTGATCTTTAAACTGTGTGCAAAGATTGATTCAAATTTTTTTCTAAGTAAAAGTTAAATTTAAAGCTTATTTTTTAAAGCCAAAATTTGAGAGATGGTAATAGCTGCACTAATTCACAAAGCTTGAGAAAGTGTTCTTTAGGCACACAGAAAAAGCACCACCAAAGTAAAATATGGTGAAGAACTGCTAACATTGAGCTCCTCTATAACACAGACTGAACTGGATGAGGTATCACTGGGACAATGGGAAGCCATTGAAGGTATTTTGGAGGAGAAGTGGGATGATCACATCCTCATTCCAAAATAGAAAAGAACTCTGACAGGAAGAGATATAGATCTTAGAAAAAAGACCAGCAGCAAAGAGATCAGTTGTGAAATTAACACAACAGACCAGACCAAATGAAAGATGGCAGCCAGAATGTGGCAACAGCAGTGGAGTTATGAACACGCAGTATGGCTCAACGAAAATCTATGTCCTGAGAGTCTACTATATGTCAGGTATTGTGCTGGAGGTATACAATTAAAGGGAGACAGAGGATTTCTCTGCCCAGTGAATCAGGGAACATAAGTAGATTACCTGTCCTAAAACGTATGGTGATGATGCATATCATATGTGTGAGGGGCTGAGAATGATAGAAGGTATGACTCAAGGATGACAAAAGTTCCCAGCATCTTCAAATGTAGAAGAGAATAGTAGGAATGTTACCTAAGATAGTAAAATCAGGAAAATGAAAATGTCTCTGTGCTCCACTTTGCTATTAACAAGTCACAAAACTGTTTTAATGGATGACACCAATACGTCACTCTACAACATCATCATTCAGACAAGTCATCATTTCAGAGGCTGAAAACACACCACTATGTAAAATATACAAACCCCATGTAAAACTCTAATTCTGGAAATTTTAAAATGGGAGAAGGGTAGAGAATATGACTCAGAATTAAAGGAATATGGTATTTGATGAGAACTGCTAATATCTCTTTTAGTAATATCTGTATTTTTTAAAAGAAATTCTTCAAGATGGAGTGTGTATTTGGAGTGTTCAGATGGGGAGGACTGCCTATCTATCACAAAGTCAGCCCTAGACCTGGCAGTTGACAAGTCTGAGGCCACACTACCGAATACAGTAGTCACAAGCCACCCAAAACTGTGGCTATGAGCCCTGGAAATGCAGCTAATCCAAACTGATGCGGGCTGCAAATATAAAAAGACACTGCATCCCAAAGAAATAAAGACATATATAATTTTTATACTGACCACATACTGAAATGATAATATTTGGGATATAATGGGGTTAACATATTACTATTAAAATTAAATTCACCTAGGAGTGCCTGTGTGGCTCAGACAGTTAAGGGTCCACCTTTGGCTCAGGTCACGATCTCCTGGTTCGGGAGTTTGAGCCCTGCGTCGGGCTCTGTGCTGACAACTCAGAGCCTGGAGCCTGCTTCAGATTCTGTGTCTCCCTCTCTGAAGGCCTCTCTGACCTTCTCAAATTCCTGCTCTCTCTCTCAAGAATTAACATTAAAAAAATAAAAAATAAATAAATTCACCTAGTAAGTCAGAAGAAAAACAAATACCATATGGTTTCATTCATCTGTGGAATTTAAGAAAAAAACGAGCAAAGGGGCGGGGGGGTGGGGGGAGAGATCGAGAGTGAGACAAACCAAGAAACAGGCTCTTAACTATAGAGAACTGATGGTTACCAGAGGGGAGGGGGTAGGGAATGGGTGAAATAGGTGATGGTGGGGGTTAAGGAGTGCACTTGTGATGAGCACAGGGCGTTGTATAGAACTGCTGAATCACTACATTGTACACCTGAAACTAATTTTACACTGTATGTTAACTAGAATTTGAATAAGAAGAAAAAAAATTAAGCTCACCTGTTTCTCTTTCCTAATGTGGATTCTAGGAAATGTTCTATTACATGTATGGCTCACATTTGTGGCCTGCACTGTATTTCTAATGAATAGTGCCAGGGTGAGGCCCAGGAAGGGGTTTTGGAGAAGAGTCCAACTCCAGCAGATTTTCAAAAAGGAACTTCTGTTACCTGCCTCCCTGTTTCCTCACCCCTCTATCTACGGAGGTAAGTCATGACCCTAGAAAGTCTTTCATCTGCTACCCCATACGTCCAGAGACAGAGAAGTAGTTAGCAAAAGGGAACTAGCTAGGACACTGTTCGTCCCCTGCAAATGAGGCTCACTGACTTACTTATCCATGATAAATAACTACTGCCCTCCCCTAAATTCCCTTCTTAGAGAGAAGTCTTCATAAATACATGAAGCTAATGAAGGGTTAGTGCTCTCCCACTCACTGGGAAGCTTTAGGGAAATCATTTAACTATGTTGAACTTGCTTTTCCTTCTGCAAAAAAAAAAAAAAAAAAAAAGATGAAGCTAAACTAACTTTAATGTACCTTCCAATTCCAACATTCTCTAAGCATTCAAGAAACAATAGTGTTTCTTAAAGCTCTGCACATTTATACTCTATGAAAGTATAAGAAAATGTGAAATTATTCAAACCTTTTCATTAATAAGATCACAAGTTCAAAAATTATACAAAGGTGGCATTTCTATGTATGTGCCTTTTACTGGAATTTCAGCCTTTTCAATTGCATATAAAACAATTATTATTAGATCTGTTCCTGGCTCAGACTTCTCCTGCTGCCATAGCCTGCTGAGGCATGGTGCTCTGATTTATACGCTCTTAGGCATCAAATGGTTCCCGGCATAGAGTGAAATAAGGCTTGGAGTAACTAAGGAATCTACATCCCAACAGAGCGTAATTTACATGGTGCTACATTTGAAAAATTTCTCGAGTCCAAAATACTCACTGGCATTCGTGGCTTATCTTGACATACAAAAATGACAATGCCCACCTACCACCCATAGAATAGATACATTGAACCAACCTTCCACTAAATATAAAAGATTTAGCCGATATGTTCCATTTTTTCCCCCATCTTTTTTATCCCTTGAAAGCAACAAAAACTATGTAAACTGGTTTGGGATGGAGTAAAGTTAGCTGGCCCTCCTGGAAAGATCCCAGCTGGGTGGCCACACTCTCACACACACACAAACTGTCCCACTACTTAGACTTCACCCAAGTGCAAGCTCTCAGTTCTTAGTCTGGTTCTCTTACAGTTTGGTCTGACTCTGAGAGAAAGAATAGGAGAGAGCCCTTTCTTCCCCCTGTTCCACACCTGCCAAGCAGACTGAACTGCCAGGTTAGCAGAATCTGATCAGGAAACTACGATCCTGGCAGAAATCAATCAGGCTCCTTACAAATTTGCAAAGAGTGCAAATATTAAACTTGGACCCTACTGAGCCTCTGCACTAGAAAAACAAGGAATCTGACAGCCCAATCTTTAGCACCACCATGAAATCTATTACAGTTAAATTTCAAAAGAGAGAAAGAAAATAAAGTACATCAAGGATTTCTTCATATCTTTTGGCTGTTCTTTGTAAATCATCTTCCTTCTCTGCAATTTTTTTATATAACTGACTTGTCTCTTCTTGATGGCTTTCCAAAAGTTCAGCTTCCACTTCCTGGGCTTTATCTACAATATAAAAAAGGGACACACAAACAAGAAAACACATCAAGGAAGAATTAACATCTATATCCCATTTTAGTTCCAAATAAAATTTGCTAAAAACCAGTTGGTCACATATACTCTCTCACAGAGCAGAAATGTCTTTATAAACGTTTCAGGGCCTTCCACCCGCTCCTCCTCTCCACAAGGCGAGCCGCAGCCAGGCACTACACGTTCCCGTTAGGGGACCTTCTTGGGTAGGAATCATTTTTCTCTCCAGTTTAATTACTTAAAGCACTCAGCACAGTGTGAAAACAGTTAAGAGTAAATTATAAATCATTTCTGCTGATTCTGACTTGTTCTTTACTGAATTTAAACTATGACTTACCAATGGTTTCTTTTATGGTCATTTCCAGCTCCTGTTCCTTCTGCGCCAGCTGTGTATGGAACTCCCTCATCAGCTGTTTTAGTGTGGAATTGTGCTTCAACTCAAGATCTTCCTGCTCCTGTCTGTGTAACAAAAATATAAAGAGCTAACAGTTGCCAAACACAAAATAAGCTGTAAATCGTCACCTAGTCTTCAGGACGGCCCACATAGTAAGATCTCACTGGTGCAAAAACACGTTTAAAGGTGCACGTGTGCACGCGTGCACGTCCAGAAACGGGAGACCGGGAGGGTACGTGAACTAGGATAATCTCTAGACAACAGTCCTGGGCATTTAAGAATTTTTCTTTTCCACTTAAAACTTTCATCATAGACTAAGGCGCCTGGGTGTCTCGGTCGGTTAAGCATCCAATCAGCTCTGCTCATGATCTCATAGTTTGTGAGTCCAAGCCCCCCATCAGGCTCTGTGCTGACAGCTCAGAGCCTGGAGCCTGCTTCCGATGATGTGTCTCCCTCTCTCTCTGCCCCACCCCAACTTGCACTTGCTTGCTCGCTCTCTCTCAAAAATAAATAAACATTAAAAAAAATGTTCATCGGGGCGCCTGGGTGGCTTAGTCGGTTAAGTGTCTGACTTTCGCTTAGGTCATGATCTCGCGGTTCGTAGGTTCGATTCCCCATGTCGGGCTCTGTGCTGACTGCCAGCTCAGAGCCTGGAGCCTGTTTCAGTCTGTGACTCCCTCTCTCTCTGACCCTCCCCTGCTCACGCTGCCTCTCTCTCCTAGAAAAAAAAAAAGATTAAAAAAAAATGTTCATCACACACGTCTATGTTATATAATAATGCTAATACTAAAAAGAAAATGAAAAGAGTGTTTACTGGGATATATACCTAATAAGCATAATCTTATACGTAAGAAAGGGTTTTTTTCCCCCTCTGAACAGACATGAAATAACGCTGCTTCTTGCCTTAAGGTGTTTTTATTTCTCCTCAGCATTTAATTTATTCGATTTATGTTTCATAGCTTGTGTAGGTGAAATTTAAAAGGGAGTTGGTTAAAGAGAACGGTCTTATAAACATGCATGCTGAAAAGCTTACTTGATTTTCTCTTCCATTTCTTGTTCATATTCTTTCTTCATGATGTCCAATTCTTGCTGATGCTCCTTCCGTAACATTCGCAGATCTTTCTGCAACTTTACGATCTCCTTGCCGAGCTTCTCCTTCTCCTGCTCTGCCCCTGCTAATTTAAATTCCAGGTCATTGTGCTGGGCCTCCATGTTACCAGGCAATGTGGGTGGGACTCCATGAGATTTGGACTTTTCTGCAGCACTTTCTTCCAAAACTTCTGTGGGTTTATTTTTTCCATCTATCTGCTGCTGTAAAGCCTGTAATTTTTCAAATTTTGAGGTCAACTCTTCCATTTCCAGTCTATGACCTTCCCTCTCTCTTGCTAAGCAGGAATCCAGCTCTTTTATCTTTTGCTCCAAGATTTGACAGGTCAGTTCCTTCTCCTGGAGAATTTTCTGGACATCATCAACCACATTTTCCAAGTTTTGATTGGCCCCTATGTTATTTTTACCTCCCTCTTCCTCCACATGATGGGGTGCTATCAAGGAATATTTCTTGCTTCTCTCTTCAAGTTCCTCCTGAAGACGACTTATCATAGCTTGATCCTCATGCTGCTTTGTGTCCGCCTGTCCTATCTTTACTAGGAGCTCCTGGTACCTGCACTGCATTTCAGAATGAGAGGAAACCGTCTCTTCCTTTTCCTGCTCTAGCCTTTGCAACAGCTTTTCTTTTTCCATCAGACGTGTTTGTAAAACAGTGATTTTTTCTTCACATGCCTTCTGCAGACAGCCTTGGAGATCTGGCTTTTTGTGCTCAGCACAGGCTGCCGCAGTTTTTGCTGACCTGGGTATAACTGATGCTTCTGACTGTGGTGAACCTTCCACTGATTTAAGCTTTTCTTCCAAGGCCTGAATTTCTCGCTCTCTCTCCTGCAATTTTGTATTCAGCGCATCCAAATGGCTTTCTGCATCTTGTTTATACTGCCGCTCCTTCTCTTCCATTTGAGATAACAACTGCTTCTTGATGGCAGCAATTTTTTGTTCGGCTTTTTTCTTCAGTTCTGCCAGTTTTGCAGCACTCTCTAACTCAAGTCTATCTTCCAGCAGTACCCTTAATTCCTCTTCTCTGCCCTTCACACTTGCATTCACATGTTCCAATTCTTTCTCCTTGGTTTCAAGTACAGATGTCATGGAAGACACTTGCTTTTCAAGTCTTAAGACTTTTTCTTCAGCTTCTTTAACTCTGCTGTCCTTTTCTTCTCCTAACTCTTGAAGGTGCTGAAGCTTGTGAAGCATCTCTTTTCGTTCGGTGTCCTTTTGCTCATTGTGTTTGCTGAGAACTTCATTTAAGGACTCAATTTCAGTTGTCTTCTGAGCAAGATGCTCCTCTAATTCGACAATTCTTGCCTTTTGAGCTTTTAACTCACTTTCTAAATTACACTCTTTTTTCTCCAGCTTGCTCTTCTTTTCTTCCATTTCGCCCTTTAAACATACGAATCTTTCGTTCTGCTGATCAAGGTCCTCCTTCAAGACGTTTACCTGCTCAGCCCTTTCACTGGCTTCCTTTGTTTTTAACTCAAGCTGCATCTGCAATTCTTTGATAGTATTTTGATACTGTATAAATTTTGACTGTGCTTTTTTCTTCCATTCGGAGAATTTGCTGGACAGGTGATCTACCTGTTCAAGAGCAGAGATTTTCTCTTTACTCAGAGTCTCAACTTTCAAAGATAAGTTCTGTACCTGGTCCAGCAAGTCACGTTGCTGTTCATCGTATTGCTTACTTAGTGATGCAATGGCTGCTTCTTTTTCCGTGAGGCTGACGCTGTTCTGAAGCTCAGTGTTCAAATCGGTTAGTTGTTTACTAAGACTGCTGATCTCAGATTTCTTTTCTTTAAGCTCTTCTTTCATCAGTGTGACAGCATTGATGTTTTCAGATAACTCTTTCTTCAACTGCGTGATACAAGACTCCTTTTCAGAGGCAGCCTGCTGCTGACTGCCTCCTTCCTTCTGTAAGGCTTCTTTTTCCATTACAAGACCTTCAATATCAGCCTTCAGGCTCCTAATTTGACTTTCTTTTTCTTCTAATTGATGGGTAGCTTGTTGAAAGGAACTATTTAGTTCATTCTGCTCTTCTGTTAGCTGTCTAAACTGTGCTTCTAATTCAGAAGCTTTGCAAGTTTTAATCAGTAGCGCCTCCTTAACTTTTGTTGTGTGGTGCTGACAGTGGGAAATTCTAGAGAGAATGGCATTAATTTTACTACTACTGCTGCTGATTAGCTCATCTGTTTTACTTTGTAACAAGGCCTCAGTTTTCTTAGAGTAAATATCCAGCTGAACTGCTAGTTCCTCAGATAGTTTTTTGAATTCCAAGCTTTTGTCTTCTAGGCTTTTCATACTTTTTTCACGTGAAGATTTCAAACTCTGGAATTCCTCATCAGTGGCTTTCAACTTGTCAGTCAACTCAGAAACCTTCAGCTTATCTTTTTCTGCCAGTTTCTCCAGTTCAACTATATGCTCTTGAAGAGAAGTATTTTCCTCCAGAGAACGATTCAAGTCAACCTCCAGCTTTTCAAGTTGTGCTCTTAGTTTAGTTTCATTTTGTGAGAGAGAATTCATGTGAGCAGACTTCTGGTATAACTGTTCCTGTAACCCCTTTAACACGGTGTCCTGCCTAACGCCTTCTTCCTTCAGCCACACCAGTTCCTTGTTCATCTCTTCTTTTTCACACCCGCATCGGAGGATCTTTTGCTTCAGTTCTGCTACCTCCTGTTCTTTTTCCTGTAATTGGATTTCATATTTTTCCTGCAGCTCCTCAGCTTGCTGATTAAGTTTCTTTTCCCAGACAGATACGACATCGCTGAGTTCTCGTCTATGCAGCTCAGTGAGACTTTCGATTTGCTCCTTTTGGTTTGTTTCCAGTCTCGACACTGCGTCGCTAATTCCAGCGGACTTAGCCTGTGCCATTTCCAAAATTTTGGCATTGAACTGTTTTTCTTTCTGACTAAGCTCCAGGACGGTATTTTCAAGCTCTTTTTTAAGTTTGGCTTCCTGATCCAGTAATTTCTTCTTTAACGTTTCTTGCATCTCTTTTGCTTTCTGCTTAATTTTTTCCATCTTTTTTTCTTGATTTTTAAATTTGGTTTCATATTCCTCATGTAAAATACTAATACTGTCCTCCTTGGCTGATAATTTCTGTTTGAGAGTTTCAATTTCTTTGCTCTGCCCTTCCCTCATCTGTAAAATTACATTTTCCTTTTCTATCAAGATTTGCTTAGTCTGTGCCTGTTCTGTGCTAGTATCTCTAAGTTGGGACTCGTAGAGCTGGGTTAAAGATTGCACTTTTTCTTCCATTTCACTTTTCTGCACTTCAAGCTGCTGCATTAAGTCCTGCACCTGGATCTTGTGAGTGTCTAACTCAGCACAGACATCATTCTTCTGTGCTTCAACTTCGGCTACCTGTTTAGTAAGAAGAACTCTTTCTGTTTCCAAGCCCAACAACTTCTCCTGCAGCTGAGCCAACTGCTCCTGGGATGCCCTGGTCTGCTCGTGTGTGGTACTCTGCTGCGACTGAAACAGAGCCAGCTTAGCAGATGCCTGCAGGAGTTCCTCTTCAGACCTCTTAATATCTGCCTCCAAGTTTTCCACACGAGCCTGGTGCTCTTTCAAATGCTGGTCCTTTTCCTTCAGAAGAAGACCAAGTTGATTAATTTCATCTTTTAATGCCTTCTCCATTCTCTGGATAGACCTCTCTTGTTCTTTAATGATACTGTCAACTTGCTGCTCGTGATGACTTTTCTGTTCATCTAGCTTGGCCTCTAGTTCCTGCTTTACTTTATCTGCTTGGCCCTTTAGTACAGAGAGTGCCTCTTCCAGCTTGTCACGGGCTTCTAACACTTCTGACAGCTCAGAAGTCAGTGATTCCAGTTCTGTTTGCTTCACATCAAGCTTTTCTAAAGTCTTCTCATTCATCTCTTTTATGTGGGCCTGGAAGACATGCTCTTTGTCTTTCAACAATGTTTCTTTCTCTTGTTCATACTTTTCTCTAAGTTTTTCCATTTCAGCCTGATGCTGCTGCTTTAAGACTTGGAGTTTTTCAGTCCAAAGAGTTCCCTGCTGATGCTGCAGGCTTTCCAGTTCTGTCTTGTGTTTTTCAACCATGATTGTAATTTCTTTATTGTGCTTATTTTTTTCTGCTTCCAAATGGATAGCTAAATCTTCTGATTGAGTTTTGCTTTCTTTTAAGCTTTTTTCCAAAGAACTTTCCAATTCAAGAATTCTCTGTTAATAAAAACAGATATATTTTTATTGAAGTACAGACTTACTTATGAGCAATGATACACATGACATAATGTCTACACCTGTTTAAAGATTAAAACTTAGAAAAATAACTACATATCATGCCAAACACTAGAAAGCACAAACTAATCTGTGCTCAATTCCTAGAAATCATGTAACAAAGAAAAGATTTTCTATTTTAATACCATGTAAGATTCCAAATTCTTTCTACCTCCCTGAGTAATTATTTCAACCATCTATGTTTTCAAGAATATTCTGAATGGATAGTCAAAAAGATATAAATCATAAAGAAGATAATAGTGACTTTTGGTAGGAAGTTTCTTTTTTCCATGTGTTTTTTCAAGGCCTCTAATAGTATTCTATTACTTTCATAATTTAATTTTGGAAAATAAATAATGTATCTGGGTTTTCTACTTCAAAAATGATTATTTAAAAGATATTTTGTAAAAAGAAGGAACTTATGCAAATTTTACCAAAGATTACTCTTAGCTCATGAAAATATCAATCTTGACTCTAAAGGAAAAAGAGCTAAGTAAGACAGGGCCATGCAATGTCAGAGAAGGAAAGGTCCTAAGAATGACCAAACTCAATTCTCCATGTGACAGGTGAAGATATTAAGGTATAATTAGTTTATGAAGCTAGCAAGTGGAAAAATCTAGGCCTCCTGAGTATTCCCCTCCACCATGCCACCTTACATAAATGTTGGAAATGGGAAATTAAAGTTCAGCTTACAACTACGGGAAAGAAGTGTGACTCTTTCACTGCCTAAACCAAAGTAGAAAATCTAAAGAACGTGTCAATTTATTATAAACAGGTCACACATTATGTATACTACTGAAGGAAGAGCCAGAGGTCCTTAAAAATGTGCACCCTGACACATATATATAAATCTGAATATGGGAAAACTGGGAAAAACTTAACTGTTTTGTAAATAAATATTCCATAGTCCAGCTATCCAGGCATGGACTATGGTAATTTTGTTTAATGTTTGTTTATTTGAGACAGAAGGCGCAAGCAGAGGAGGGGCGGGGAGTGGGGGGTGGAGAGAATTCCAAGCAGGCTCTGTGCTAGCAGCACAGAGCCTGACGCAGGGCTCAAACCCACAAACTGCAAGATCAAGACTTGAGCCAAAGTCGGATGCTTAACCATCTGAGCAACCCAGGCGCCCCCAGAACTTAATGTTTTAAAAGCAGGACGTTAGGGGTGCCTACACTGTGACATAAACAGAGAATGAATTATGTCCAGGACACAGAACAGAGGGATGCAGGAGACCGACACAGCATGGCAGGAAGGTGCCTGAGCAAGTGTTGCCTACAAGGTGAGGTGACTTCCTAAAGGTCAAGGGCAAGTAAGCAATGGGACAGGGATGCTGCTGAAGCTGAGTGCAAAGAATCAGAGTGACGGGCTGAGAAACACAGACAGTTCAAGGCAGAGTCAGCAGCAGTATGTAGTAAACACTAAAACCACTCCCGGGAAAAGCCCTGATTATCTAAAAATGAAGTGCATGTATATGTGAATTTAACCCAGTAAAACAAAAGCTCTTGACAACTTTATATTGACTGGAGAGACAACAGTAGTTTCCAGATACAAATAATTCCACAACTTTGGAACTGAAATATTACTTAAACTTACAGTTCTGTAAGTCTCTGCTTCTTGTTGAAGGTCCCGAAGTTTATTTTCACTCTCCGTGAGGATTGCTTTCTTCTGCAACTCTAACTCTTCCAGGGCCAAAGATTCTTGCTGTTCTTTTTCTTGGGTGATCTTCAAATATTCCGACTGACTTTTTTCCTGGGCCAAAAACAATACCACCTTAGACCCACATAAATCTTCAGCATTCCCAAAGCACTTCCACAGGAATCATGTATTTCATTTGATCTGCACACCAGCCCTGTGAGGTAGGCAATAGCACCACCTCTCTCTTCCCATGCCCCTGTCTGCAGAAACAAAGCACTGTGTCTTTTCCAGTGTGGTCTGGCCAATATTTGCCACAATTAATATTGATAGGAAAAATTTTGTTCCAGTAACCCCACTACATCTGCTATTCTTCCACTACTAAAAATGTTTTGCAAAACATGGCTTAATGTGAAGGGTCACATTAAGGTTAAGAATTGTCACTACTACTCTGCACTCCAGAGTTTGATTATTTCAACTCCAGGCCAAGAAACGAGGTTGTAAATTTATATAATTTGTGAGAAATACCTCATTAGGGAACCCCACATAGAAAACCGAATCAAAATCAGAAGATTACATGTGAATAATAGATTAGATCAAGGAAACATCTATAAAAGCCTTCATAACTCTTTTCAGATGACCTGGGCTCTACCATTCCGTCAATCCTGAAATGAATTGTCCCTATTACACATCAACATTTATATTAAAAAGTGTTTACTGTTTTGAAAAGAGAAGCTCTAGAGAGAACTTTTAACATTTAGTGGCTTTGGATTCCAATTAAGAATATTTTAGGGGTGCCTTGGGTGGTTCAGTCGGATAAGTGTCCGACTCCAGCTCAGGTCATGATCTCATTAGTCCTTGAGTTTGAGCCCCGTGTTGGACTCTGCTGACAGCTCGGAGCCTGGAGCCTGCTTCAGATTCGGTGTCTCCCTTTCTCTCTCCACCCCTCTCTTGATCTCTCTCTCTCTCAAAAATAAACAAACATTAAAAAAATTTTAAAAAGAATACTTTATCCATACCAATTACATAGGGATCATGTTGCCAGCAGCAGTGTTTTCAGCTCACTACACTCTGGTGAAACATTGCTCTAAGGAAAGATGTTGTCCTGTATTACAAGCAGACGGATAAGAAACTAGTAGTTTCTAATCAATTTCAAAACATCATTTTAGGGGTGCCTGGGTAGCTCAGTAGCTAAGTGTCTGACTCTTGATTTCAGCCCAGGTCATGACCTCACAATTTGTGAGTTAGATCCCTACATCAGGCTCTGCAGAGCCTGCTTGGGATTCTTTCTCTCCCTCTCAAAATAAATATATAAACTTAAAACGAATCTATAAAATATCATTTTAAACATACTATACTGTCTAATATAAACTACATTTTAAATGCATCTCTCTATGACCGTAAAAAAAAGAAGAGGGGGCGCCTGGGTGGCTCAGTTGGTTGAGTTTTTGACTCTGGGTTTCAGCTCAGGTCATGATCTCCCAGTGAGAGTTTGAACACACTGTCTGCCTCTACACAGACAGTGGAGGGCCCACTTGGGATTCTCTCGTCTTCTCTCTCTGCCCTTCCCTGACTTGTTCTCTCTCTCTCTCTCTCAAAATAAATAAACTTAACAAAAAAATAAGAGGACATTCTAGTAGTCTGTTGAACTTTGGTTAACAACGCAAAGTTCACTTCTTTGAAGAACTAGGTAGAAAGGAGCATGGAAGGCGGCAAGCGTGTGTGTGTGTGTGTGTGTGTGTGTGTGTGTGCGCGAGCGCACGCGCGTGCGCTTCATATGTATCGTTGTCCAGCTCTCTCAACTCAGAATATATCTTGAGTACATCAGTTCTAGATCGCAATTTTTAACAAGGCCAATGTTGGGGCGCCTAGGTGGCTTAGTTGGTTAGGCGTCCAACTTCGGCTCAGGCCATGATCTCATGGTTTGTGAGTTCGAGCCCTGTGTCAGGCTCTGTGCTGACAGCTCAGAGCCTGAAGCCTGCTTCAGATTCTGTGTCTCCCTCTCTCTCTGTCCTGCCCTTGCTCATGCTCTGTCTCTCTTTCTCTGTCAAAAATAAACAAATATAAAAAAAATTTTTTTTAAATAATAAAAATAACAAGGCCAATGTTCAAGTCCCAGTGTCCCCAAAGGCCAATTACTCTAGCATGAAAACACACAGTAGATCTTAATGACAGGAATTTTTAGAACAATTCCTAGCTTCATTATGCCCACTTTGTTCTTAATTTTCATGCTATCCTGTTATAGTTTAAGCATTCTTGTAAACTACCTTAAATCCTTTCTGGACTGGAGCACCTGGCTGGCTCAGTCAGTAGAGCATGTGACTCTTGATCTTGAGGTTGTGAGTTTGAGCCCCATGTACTTACAGTAATAATAATAATAACTATTATTATTATGTTATATAATAACGTATGTCCTTTCCGGACCAAGAAAGAATACAAGTATGTACCCATTTACATATTCATATCATGACTACAGAGGAAACCCCTAACCTCAGCCAACAACACTAAATCCATGTGCCTGTTTGCCCCAGAGATTAAAGAACTCCCTGACTCAGTTCAAAAATAACTGCTGCTGGAAATTCTCAGAGCCCCAGATCCAAATGAGAGTGAAAAATCACAAATGTGTGACAGAAAGATTAAAATTATAAATATTTCTCATCCTTCTGCACTAAAAGTGTTTTTAAATTATACACATTGTCTTATGGATACTAATTTCATAACAAAATAATCAAACTACATTTTTGGCATTAATACTTCTTATGGTACCTTATATATAAGGCTTTTCACAATTTGAAAAAAAGTTTTCTTTCTTATAAACTTTCAAATTATGCTATTCCCCAAAACCTTATCTTTGTTTCTCTGGATATTATTTTGGTTAGTTTGGTCCGTTGTTTCTTTATTTTTTTAAAAAATCACATGTATTGAAAATTATTACTGAAATTATTCTACTTAAAATGAAAACTACTTGGGTCTTTTTCCTTTTTTTCTTCTTTAAAATGCATTTCAGGGGACACCTGGGGGCTTAGTTGGTTAAGCATTAGGCTCTTGATCTCAGCTCAGGTCACGATCTCACGGTTTATGAGATCAAGCCCCCGCTAATAGCATGGAGCCTGCTGGGAATTCTCTCTCCCTCTCTCTCTGCCCTTTCCCCATGTATGTGCATGCATAGTGTGCTCTCTCTCAAAATACATAAATAAACTTAAAAATAAAATGCACTTCAGACAAAACTTTCTGAGCTTTGAGTTCTGGTACACTCAGTCTGGTGAGTTTCTAGACATTCTTCCTGAGTCACAGTCACTAGTTCACAGCTTCAATGAGCTTACTGTCCCCTTTACTTCTCCACCATCACAGCCTCCTGCCAGGGTGAGGAGGTTGATATACAAACAAACAAACTGGTTAATGCCAGCTTGTTAGTTAGTACAATTTCACACAACACCAAGGTAACAGGCTCTGACAGCCTCTTTCCTACCTATGTCCTACCCTCTCGGCACACTCAAAAGTAAGGCTGCCAGTAGTCTGACTTCAAGCTGGAAGTTAGGGGTGAGGAGATAACAACTTTATAAAGCTACAAAGTTTACCCAGACAAAAACAAAACAGGTACTTACGAGGGCTATTTTCATTTGCTCCTGAAACTGCCTTTCTTGGGTCTCAAACTTCTTGGTCAGTTCCTGTTCTTTTCTGGCCAACTCTTCTTCATGAAGCTTCTGCAGCTTAGCAACTTGTTCTGAGTGTTTCTAAAAAGCCAGCCATATAGTTAGAGTGAAACTCTCAGCATAAAGCTTGTACTCTACAACTAAGTAATATTTTATTACAATTTAATTGCTAAGCCAAAAGTGTAAGAGGAGAAATCAAAACATATTTCCCACATAAATCAAAAGTGACCAAAGTCTCAACAGTCAAAAGAAAAGCCTACAGAGTGTATCACTTCTGTAAGACAGGGGCAGCTGCTGCTCTGGGGCTGAAGCTCCACTTCCACGTCTTGCAGGAATGTCCCCCACCAATCACGATGGGGAAGGACAGGAGAGGGCACTCCACGAAGGTCAAGCTGCCCTGGCAGCACCAATCTAGCATATACTATTTATTAAAAAGTACTGGCCTGGTTCTCTCTTGGAAAGGAAGACTTAATCTTACAAAAATGTCAAACTGGGGCGCCTGGGCTCAGTCAGTTAAACTTCGACTTCGGCTCAGGTCATTATCTCACAGTTCGTGGGTTTGAGCCCCGTGTTGGGCTCTGTGCTGACAGCTCAGAGCCTGGAGCCTGCTTCAGATTCTGTGTCTCCCTTCTCTCTCTGACCCTCTCCTGCTCACGCTGTCTTTCTCTCTCAGAAATAAATAAAAAACATGAAAAAAATGTCAAACCTCCCTAAAGAAATCTAAAAACTTAATATAACCAAATAAAACTACCAACAGAATGGGGACTGAGGGGTCCTCTGGACAAAATAAACATGCAAGAATAGCCAGCACTCTTCTGAAAAATAAGAGTAATAAGGAGAGGCTACGAGTTAATAGAACACATTATAAAACTAGAGTAAGTATAACAGCATAATACTGGCATATAGTGAGGAGAAGCAATGGAATAGCACAGAGAATTCAAGAAAGAGACCCATATGTAGCACAGTAATTTAGGATGAAATATGGTATGTCATGTCAGAAGGGAAAATATAGATTATTAAATAAATGATTTGAAGACTACTTGGTAATCATCTGGAAAAAAATTAAAGTTGGATCCCTATCTCACTCCTTACGCCAAACAGATTCCAATTGGATCAAAGACTTAACAATAAAAAATGAAAGCATATAAGTGCCATTAAAAATAGAATTTTTAAATGATGTCAGTGAGAATGTGTTTTTAAAAGCAGACCAAAAGTCCAGATAGAAAAATCCTTACATGGCCAAAAAAACAAAAGGCCAATTCCAAAGCAAAACATAAATGACAAACAAAGTCAATTAAAAAGAGAGAGAAAAAGGGGCGCCTGGGTGGCTTAGTCGGTTAAGCGTCCGACTTTCGCTTAGGTCATGATCTCGCGGTTCATGGGTTCGAGCCCCGCGTTGGGCTCTGTGCTGACTGCCAGCTCAGAGCCTGGAGCCTATTTCAGAGTCTGTGTCTCCCTCTCTCTCTGACCCTCCCCTGCTCACGCTGTCTCTCTCTCTCTCTCCCCTAGAAATAAATAAAAATATTTCAAAAAACAAAGAGAGAAAAAAATTATTTGGATAAATGCATTGTATATTCAAAGAACTAATTCCTACTATATGTAAAAAAACTTGTACAAATCAGTAAGAAAAGACCAATTGCTCAAAAGGAAAATGAGTTAAAGATTTGACTATGCAACTCAAAGAGAAGAAACCACCAATTCCTTTTAAATATATAAAAATATGTCGTCAGGGGCGCCTGGGGGGCTCAGTCAGTTAAGCATCTGACTCTTGACTTCGGCTCAGGTCGTGGTCTCGTGGTTCATGAGTTCGAGCCCCGCACCAGGCACCATGCTGACAGTGCAGAGCCTGCTTGGGATTCTCTCTCCTTCTCTGACCCTTCCCTGCTCGCACGGGTGTGCACGCGCTCGTTCACGCGCTCTCTGTCTTTCTCTCAAAAAATGTTTATCATGCTGTTAAAAAGATAAGCACATTGAAACTACAATGTCATTTTCTTTTAACTGTTCAGCTTGGGAAGAAAAGAAAAGTAACATCATCCTTGTGAGGTAATACATCACTTGTGAGAGTATAAAGTGTCCTCTATGGAGCTCACGGCCAACTACGCAATACTTAAAAATACACATAATCTTTGCCTAATATTCCACTTCTAGGGAACTATCCTAAAGACACACACATGTGAGCAAGTATGATAAGGATATTCACCATTTGCAATAGCAGAAAATGAAAAACCTAAATATCCATCAGCAGAAGACTGGTTAAATCATGATACATTCATACAGTGAAATCCTGAGCAGTCTTTAAAACAAATGCGGCATCATTACCAATTGTCAATGATACAGAACACATTAAGTGGAAAAGCAAAACACAGAGCGTCACATAGAACATATTATTTTTTGTGTTAAAAAATTTAAAAGAGAAGATTATAAAACATCAAAGAGAAATTATATGCAGAGACTATCTCTGGAAAGTATATCCACAAAGATATATAAATTATTTTCTCTATCCCAAAGTGATTTTTTTCCTATATCTTGAACTCATGATATGGTCAAGGTCTAAAACATAAATTCATTCTTCTTACAGTCAAAACTTGTGGGAAAAGCATAAGGCATAAGTTTCAAAACTGCCATAGCCTTTTAAAATCTAGAATATTCTTACTTTCATTGCATCAACAACCTCCTGTTTCACCCGACTTAATTCGCGCTGAAGAACGGTGCGTTCCTCCTCCCTTGCTTTTTCAACAGCTTTTATTTGTTCATCCATTTCTGCCTTCATTTTTCTCCGTGATTCTTCTGTTTTTTGGGCTGTACTCAAGGCTTTTTCAAGTTCCTCAAAAGCTATAAGGAAAAGAGCAGAAAACAAGTATCTCAAGAAATACTATCATTGAGCTAAAGTGTTTTACATTCAATTTACGGGAACTATGAGCAGCAGTAGCAAGACAGGTTAAAATACTCATTTTTGTTTTAAGCCAGGAGATCTTTCCGAGCCGTTCCACAAAGCCACAAGAAGTGTCCAGTTACTGAAACCAATTTGTGATTGAGTGCTGGATTCAGATCTTCAGACCTACTTATATGAACTTAAACTTAGGAGTTTGGAAAAAAATTAAATTACTAATGGTTCCCCACACTTTCTACCTGCAAGTGTCCTTATTCAAAGAAATGAAGACTTGTTCCTACTTTTGTATGATGTAATTTCAACTGCTTTCTTGTTTGCTATGGAGTCTTACCTATTATCAATAATTAGGCAATATTATTATATACTCCCAAGAACATTTTTAAGAATGGAAAAATTATTCTTTGACTAATCCTATTTTTAAAAACCTCTTAACCATATAATAAAAGAGCAGAATTTCTTGGTTTTTGTTTTACCATTTGCTAGCTGAATCACATATTTAAACAATGTATAGTGAAATGAAACCTACCATTTGTATACATTTCAAACCAGGGCCAGTAACTAGAAAGAAATCTTTACTTGATTCAACAGTGTATAGTAAGGCACTACTAGGGATGCCTGGGTAGGTTAAGCTTCTGACTCTTGATTTTGGCTCAAGTCATCATCTCACAGTTCATGAGATTGAGCCCTGTGTCACTAGGAGCCTGCTTGGGATTCTCTCTCCACCTCTCTCTCTCTGCTCCGCCCCCACTCATGCACTCATCCTCTCTCTCTCTCAAAATAAATAGATAAACTTAAAAAAAAAGGTACTACCAACAGGGTGTTCTTGTGTGAGATAAGAATTCAGGCCCTGAAAAAACAAGCATCTAGGATACAGCAGTATTATCTTTAAGGAGGCCAACAGCTCACCCAGCTTCCACCAAAATCTGATAGGGCCGGTACACCAACTAGGTAACTCGGCACCGGAAATATGTGTGTGCGCTTGTGTGCAGATGTATGTGTGTAAGTATGTGTGTGCATGTGCGCACTGTACGTGTTTCTCTCTGCTGGCGTGGTGATATGCTGTCAAAATCTTACTGCTATTACCATCCTAGATTATTTTCCTTAGTCCTCACAGAAGACATCAGGCTTCCCTTTACCACAGAGCAGGACTATAAATAAAACATTCAAGATGGGATTTTGATAAAATTTCAAGATGGGATTTTAATCCTATCAAGAAACCTATGTCCAGAGGAGAGACAGTTCATTAAAACAGAGTATTTTCACCCTCAGTGGTATAAGAAATGTACAACTTCAACCTATAGCATCTCAAAAACAAAAAGCCCTTTTACTAATCACAACTTGGCTTACCCTTAACAGACAGTGGTTGGGCACAGGAATTTCATACCTGAAGACAAATATCTGTTCTATAGCATTTTCTTAATGGTAAGTTGGATTAATACAAAAAAAAATAAAAATAAAAATAAAAAGGCAAGAGAAAGGATGAATTCTGGTAACAACGGAGAAATACAACTTACTTTACTCAACATTTAAAAAAATAACTTCTCTAGCAACTATATAACTTTGATATTTAAAAAAAAACCTGTTCAGGGGTGCCTGGGTGGCTCAGTCAGTTAAGCGTCTAATTCCTGATCTCGGCTCAAGTCATGATCTCACCATTTGAGAGAGTTCAAGCCCCATGTCAGGTTCTGCACTGACAGCATGGAGCCTGCTTGGAATTCTTTCTCCGCCCCTCCCCAACTCATGCTCGTTCGCTCTCTCTCTCTCTCTCAAAATAAATAAACTTAAAAAAATTTTAATTTAACCTGTTCAATTCATTCATTTTATATAAATGCCCAAAGTAAAAAACTGATGCTCTAAATTTCAAAGGGACATTAATTAGCTGAAATCCTTTTTAAAGATTCCTGCTCTAACTTTATTGGTATTTGCCAGCAAACACCAAGATCCTCAGACATAAACATGTTGGAAAATTAAATATTCAAAAGAAAATGTTGTTTTTGTTTTATTTAGATGTTCTTTTACTATACTAAATTTTAGTGTCAAGCATAAAGAAATATCTCTTGCTGCTAACAAGAAATTAGTTTCCTAATTTCTAAAAAGCCAGTTTCCTAAAGTCAAGTAATCAATTATGGGAAAGAAATTCTATAACAAAGTGCTTACTGCTCAGTTTGTGCTGATGGTTTAAATCTGGGAAATAAAAAAACAGAAAAAGAATTTTCTAATGCTTGGATGTCACCAGCATCTTTTCAGTACCATTATTATTCAGCACGTCAAATAGTATCTTAGCACTTCTAAGCACTTTACAGAAATCTCTGAGATCAGGCTCCGGAAAACCTGAAGGTAGTTTTGATATTCTTCCAACAAATCGAGTTTTAAATGTAAAATTTGTCCTGATTAAGCAAAATAAAACAAAACTGTATATAGACAATACCAAGTGAATTTTCCTCATTTTTATTCTTAAAATTCCAGAAATTGGTACAGTATAAAAACAGAAGTGGTGCTCTCACCATTGGAAACAAAAAAATCTATGTCACAAAGTTCCTATTCAGAAATAATTTTCCAATAATTCAGTTTTCTAACCACACTCAGTAAAGTTTCGAAGATTCTTCTCTATTCTAATTTTAGTGTTTCATCCACTGAAAGTATTTTCCTAAGCCACTTGGTTATGCATCATACAATGATTAAAGTAAGAGAGATCTGGTCCCACAGCTCTATTCACCTCCCACTTTCTGCTACCATGTCAGAGAACCACACAATTTTATACCTATAAAGAAATCTTTGAAATCTTTTAATTCAACATTCTTACTCAAATGCAAGAACTGAGGCATCTCACTTTCCCCTCAGATGATAAATCAACTTGAATATATAAATTAGCTTGTTGCCAGAACTTTAAAATTATATTTAAGGAATAATCCTCACCTTGCATTATTTTTAAAAACTCTTAAGAATGCTGACATTGATCCAGCTCCGTTGGACAATCATGCATCTTACTAAACCAGAATTTCTGAATCAATTACTGATGGCTTCTAATGCTGAACAAATTATAGTCATGTTACACTTCTGAGAGACACACTAAAACTCTACTGTGTTCCATCTCCACCCTGCTTTATGGAAATGTTATCAAGTATCCAGAAAAGGGGGGGGCTGTCATTAAAACTCATTATACATACTGACATACAGAAAACATACTCCAAGTACATTCTGGATCTACCTTGTGCCACGAATGAAGCCACGTCCTTGCAGGAAGTCTGCCTCCAACAGTGAGTCCCAACTCAGTGTTGAAGGAGGATGTACTGAGAGTTTACTTACTAACCAGAAACATTGCACCTTCTGATCTTATTACCATCAGATACAGAAAAGTAGTGTCCACAACTTGTGACACTCTGAAGAGGAAATTCCCACTCTTTCCAAAATGAAACTAGCCTAGGGTTTTAATGTGAGTACTAACGAAGTATGTTCTGCATGTCTACATAACTTATCTTCTAATCATCAACAAAGGGTAAATGAGCGGGGAAAAAGAAAGCGTGCATCAGCCGCCGCTGACGAACCCTCGGCCAGCATGCAAGGATGCGCAGGAAAACCAGTCACACACACGACAACGGGAAGGCTAAGCACGGACTGCTGCCCGATGTTGCAAGAACACACTGTGTTCTTCCAAAGCAAAATTCAATGTATCTCAGGCACTTTGTATTTAAAATTAAAAAAAAAAAAAAACTTTGAAAATATTCCTAGGCAAAAATTTAATAAACCTTAAGAATGGTCCTCTGTCAAAAGTAAAATGCCAAGGGAGATCATAATTTTGTCACCAGTTCCTCACTTTCCACTTCAGACGAGTTTCACTGACATCCATGGGGATTATGAGAAAAGCAGACAACTGGGTTGATCACCTATAGCTAATCAAGAATCTAACCATCCATTCATCAAACATTTACTGGATGTTTGGCATCTGTGAAGCATAAGCTAGTAGGCAGTGGGTTTTGACAAGAAGGCGGCGCAAGTAGTAAAGGGCATGGAGAATAAACTGTAGGCAAAGCTAGGAAGAATGTGATATTTGATTTTGCCACTTCACCATCTTTGTCTCTCCTCATCCTCAGCCTGCTCACCAATCGCAGTAACAAATGCCAGAATTCTGAGACCCAGGTAGCATTGCTGTTCGTGGAACTATCCCAGAGGACATGTTACTATAAGGATAATAAGACCCATTTTTACTCCCTCTGCAGGGAATAAGCACAGATGCAGAAGAGGGGAAAGGCTGCCAACCTGTAGATTAACTGGTGACCCTAAGAAGCTGATTGATAACATCAAGAATGAATAAGTAAGCCAGTCCCTATGTCTTCATCCCATCAAAAGAGCTGCTAAAATTCATGTTTTATATTAAACTAAAAAAACAAAATAACAAAACAAAATAAAAACAAAATACAGGCAGTACTACAAAATGAATGAAATGCAAATTAACACAGAAAGCAATAAAAAGATTTTTATCAGAATTCTAGCCCACCATCAGGGCTCTTTTGTGAATAAAAGCAAAAGTCTAGACTAGCAGTTTTCAAGGTGTGGTATACAGATCCTAGAGTCCTGAGACCCTCTCAGAAGTTGTCTGTTTTCCAAATGCATATCTGTATAATGGCAGATTTTCCTCATATATTTCAATCAGAATAATGTATCCCAACAGATTGAATATACAAATAGGTATGAAAATCTGCTATCTTCTATTATAAACCAAACAATGAGATAAGCAAAAATGTAAAAGAGGACCACTCTTCACACTAAATTTTGTTTTGGAAAATATAAGTAATTTTTATAAAAGTATTTAGACTAATATATAACAGGTTTATAATTGTTATTTTTAAATGAACTAAGAAGTGTTTTCGTTTCCTAGCTTGAATTTCTAATACGGTTAATATCATAGAACCCACACAAGCAAAAGCTCTTTGGAATCCTCAGT